GGGTTTAGAGTTTATGGTTTTGGGAGTCTAGGGGTGTAACTTGTTGGGTTTTTGAGGTGTAGGGTTTAGGGGTTTTGCGGTTTAGCTTCAGGCTTCCCACCCCGAAAGTACTGCAGACGGCCCAGAAGTTAATTTCCGAACCCCAAACCTTAACCTAAACCCGAAACTCAAAAACCCCCAAAACCCTGGAACCCTAAACCCCCTGCCCCAATCACTTTCTCGCTTTGGGGAGAGGCCTTGGCATCGTCTGGGCGGATCTCCAAGGCTTTCGATGCGTCATCCGCAGCTTGATCCTCGGATCGCGGTTCATGAAATGGGGGGGGGGGGGGGGGGTTCCGACTACACCCCAAGCCCTAAACACTAAACCCCAAACCCTAAACCCTATACCCTAAACCCCAAACCCTAAACCCTATACCCCAAACCCTATACCCTAAACCCTATACCCTAAACCCTAAACCCTAAACCCTAAGCCCTAAGCCCTTAGCCCTAAGCCCTAAGCCCTAAGCCCTGTTTGGAGGTTCCGTTTAAGGAACGTCGTGTTTTTAGAGCTCTAAGGGTGTCGCCCAAGACTTCTCGAGTTCAGGTCAGTAGTTCTGACAGCGGCTTCTAAGCGCCCTTCTGCCTGCATCTGGCCACACAAGTGGCGTCCCTGACCCGAAGCCCTATAAGCCCTAACCCTCTAAACACCCTAAACCCTTACCCCTAAACTCACCCTAAACCCTTACCCCTAAACCCCTAAACCCCTAAACCCCACACCCCAAACCCCAAACCCTAAACCCCAAACCCTAAACCCTAAACCCTTACCCCTAAACCCCTAACCCCTAAACCCCAAACCCCAAACCCCAAACCCCAAACCCTAAACCCTAAACCCTAAACCCTTACCCCTAAACCCCAAACCCTTACCCCTAAACCCCAAACCCCAAACCCCAAACCCCAAACCCTAAACCCTAAACCCCAAACCCCAAACCCTAAACCCTAAGCTGTTCAGTTGGGCCCGAGGCTCCCAATTCTCCTGGCTGAGATGTGCCTGGGAGCGGTTCGCGAGAAGCCTCAGCTGCAGGGTCTTTTCTAAGCCTTGAAAAAGGGTTTAGGGTTTAGGGTTTAGGGTTTAGGGTTTAGGATTTAGGGTCTAGGGTTTAAGATTTCAGGGTTTCAGGGTTTCAGGGTTTAAGGTTTTGGGGTTGGCTTGGGCTGGATTGGGACCTGGGTTGGGAACTGGAGCCTTTGCCTAGGAAGCCCCAAAAATCTGTGAGTTCGGGGTTTAGGGTTTAGGGTTTAGGGTTTGGGGTTTGGGGTTTGGGGTTTAGGGTTTAGGGTTTAGGGTTTAGGGGTTTGGGGTCTAGGGCCCTAAGCCCAAAAGCCTGTGAGTTCGGGGTTAAGGGTTTAGGGGTTTGGGGGCTGTAAGCCCCAAACCCTTCACAAGTCCACTGTGACCTAAAAAGACCGGGAGCGACCGAACCCACAAAAACAAATTTGGGGGTGGCCTAGTCCTGGGTCCTGAACCATAATACACACCAGACCTCTTTCTAAACCCTAAACCCCAAACCCTAAACCCGAAACCCTAAACCCTAAACCCTAAACCCCAAACCCTAAACCCTAAACCCCAAACCCTAAACCCTAAACCCTGAAGTGCAATGCCGGCTAGGGGGTCCCGGGCTGCAGGCCGGGCGGCACAGCTTTCAGGGTTCCCGCGTCGCTGCTCGCCTCTCTGGCCAAGTCCTCAGTTTCGGGTTTCGGGTGTAGGGTTTAGGGTTTAGGGTTTAGGGTTTAGGGCTTAGGGCTTAGGGCTTAGGGCTTAGGGCTTGGGGTTTTGGGTTTCGGGATTAGGGTTTAGGGCTTGGAGTTTCGGGTTTCGGGTTTAGGGTTCGCCACCCCCCCCCCCCCCCCCGCATATTTTACTCGGACGTGTTTGGGAGTGTGGGATTTTGGTGTTTAGGGGCCCTGGGCTTGGGAGGTTTCGAGCTTGGGACCCAAGCCCAAAAAACCGCAAAACTCCCAAAGTCCTAAACCCTAAACCCTGGAGGGAGTGGAGGGTTTGGGGTCAGGACTTCGAGTTCGGAGCTCAGGGTTTGGGGCTTAGGGTTTAGGGCTTAGGGCTTAGGGCTTGGGGTTTGGGGTTTAGGGTTTAGGGTTTAGGGTTTGGGGTTTCGGGTTTGGGGCTTAGGCCTTCGAAACTGCTTTCCCTGTAGATGTAGATAAAACATGTTCGTGGCCAGTCATCGATTCATCGAGTTTGCTCCCGCCTGCAGCTGCAACAATGCCAGCGTATACTCCTGCAGCAAGAAAGTAGGTGGCCCAAAGCCCTACGGCCAGAAATTCCTAAGGCCTAAAAGCCCCTAAAGCGCCCCGTTTTGGTGCAGGAAAGCCACGAAATATTGGGGGGGCTCACTCAATGGAAAGAGACCCTCTCACCCCCGACGCCACGTTGGGGCTTAGGGTGTAGCATCTTCAGGATATAGGGGGCCTTGCCCCAGGGCAAGAAGAGGTTCAATGGCACTTTCCGGGGAATTCGTGGGGGAATTTAGGGCTGGGTTTAGCGTTGAAGATGTGATCCAACCCCTGGGCGCCTTCATTACTTGCTTAAGAACTCCCCCAAGAAAGGGGTAGCAGACTGCAACCCCCGTAGTGCCCTGATAAGGAAGAACATTTGCATTTTGTGTGTGTGGGTTTCTCAAGCAAAGAGTTCTCTTATGTCGCAGCCCTAAACCCTAAACCCTAACCCTGAACCCTGAACCCTGAACCCTAAACCCTAAACCCTCAACCCTCAAGCCTAAACCCTAAACCCTAAACCCAAAACCCAAAACCCTAAACCCTAAACCCTAACCCTAAACCCTGAAGAGGTCGTGCACATCAGGCCGCTTCTGCCTTTTTCTAGTGGACAACTCCCGATCATCGGCCTCAGGTTCCTTCTTACCTGAGCTCGTTGCAAAAGTGAGTCGCACAATTTGGGCCCTGCCCACACCTAAACCCTAAACCCTAAACCCTAAACCCTAAACCCTAAACCCTAAACCCTAAACCCTAAACCCTAAACCCTAACCCTAAACCCAACCCCCCCCCAAAAAAAAAAAATAAAAATAAAAAAAAAAAAAGAGGCAACGATGAGCCTCAACAGCCTGAGCCGCATCGCCAGCCTCCAGCGCCTGAATTTCGTGGCGGTTTAGGGTTTAGGGTTTAGGGTTTAGGGTTTAGGGTTTAGGGTTTAGGGTTTAGGGTTTAGGGTTTAGGGTTTAGGGCGTACTAGCTTCAGGCTTTCAGGGTTCTGGTGCTTCAGGGTTTAGGGTTTAAGTGTGCTGGGGGCCTTCCATGTGTTCTTAAGGGCTTCAAGGCGTGAAGGGCATGGTTTTTGAGGGTGTCGGGGTCAGTGTTTCAGGGGTGTGCGAGAAGCCTTTAGGAGATTCGGTGCTGTTTGGGTTTCTTGGTCTAAACCTGAACCATTGCACCGTAAACGCTGCACCCAAACACCGCATAAGGCGTGGGGCTTTTAAGAATGCGCTTTTGTCGTGTGGATGTGGTGCTTAGGGTTCTAATTCGGGTTCCAGGGTTCCAGGGTTCCAGGGTTCCAGGGTTCCAGGGTTCCAGGGTTCCAGGGTTTAGGGTTTAGGGTTTAGGGTTTAGGGTTTAGGGTTTAGGGTTTAGGGTTTAGGGTTTAGGGTTTAGGGTTTAGGGTTTAGGGTTTAGGGTTTAGGGTTTAGGGTTTAGGGTTTACCTGGGTAGCCATACGCCTATTTATAAATGGTGGTTTCCCTGAACGCCCACATTCTGTAGGCACGCCCGCATTTCCCCAAACGCCCATAATTGCAGAAAGCACCCTGGGCTAAGCGAAGCCTTAAGCCCATGCCGAGCCCCGTGCCAATGTCAGTGCTCGAGAGATGACAGGTTTGATTGATCATCAATAGGTTGCAACAGGTTTCGGAGAAGATTTCACCTGGAGAGTGTTATAGACCGAGTGAATTTAGCTGGCAACCAGAAGGGCTTTTTGAACAGCACCCTACCGCTTCATGTCTCGACTGCCCTCCTGATCACTGCAGAGCTTCGCAAGGCATCTCTGGCATGGATTTGTTGGATTGTTTAAAGCACGTTTCTCCAGCGTAGCTTGGTCGATCAAGCCGGTGCGTGTCGCACATTGGCCAGGTGAACCCGAGAGAAGCCGATGATGGCGATGCCGCCAACGCACAGGTGCGCCCACACCTGCCAAGCTGTATACTTGTTTTCTTCGGGAAACGTCTGTGTGTGTGTGTTCGCAGTTGGGGTTCAAGGGCTGCCTTACTCACATTCTAGCTGCCGGGAATGTGCACTTTTAACTTCATGGAATGTGTGGAGATGTGGGATTCTCATCCTCGGTTGAGAAAGCGTGCGCGGACTCGTGAGCTGCTGGTTGTCGACGCCCGTGGGCGCAAGCATGTGTCACCGACCTTGTCCAACCTCCATGTCAACTCGAGTGTGGTCAGGCCCTTTACACTGGTTATGGCCAAGCATGGTGTCATCATCACAAAATCCTTGTCAAAACTGCGCCCGCCGATCGAGGCCTTCTATCGGCAAGAACTCGTAGACGAAGAAAGCAAAGATCCGATAGTCCTGGCCAGGCTGACGAGCTCAGCAAAGAAAACCGCGAAAATCGTCAAGACCATGCTTACAGCAGTGAAACGCAAATGGTCAAAGTGGGAAATGCCTCGCGAAACCAAACCGCACATATATTTTTTCAGGTTTTTATTTGGAAGTATTCACATATCTACACGCTCGTGTGTGCATGTGTGCACGCGGAACATATAAGGACGAGAAGGTTCGATCTATGGTTCTTGATTTGGCAAAGGCCTGCTCCACTGCATACGCTGACACTAGTGCAGGAAACTTAACATTTTACCTTTTCGCTGTAAGTTGTGCCCTGCCGATCGAAGCATTTACCAGATTCTCTGTCTGAAGTTTGCAGCCCAAGCTAGGAAGGCCGCTCTGCGCTTCCGAAGAAGGCAAAGGCAAAGGTTTCGAGTTCGAGTAGCTGCAGCATGGACGACGACAACCTCAAGTCGGTCTTGAAGCTGTGGTCGGATCGAGATCACACAAGTCCGTTGGAGGCTTTTCTCAAAGCTCCACCTCAAGCAGAGCTGGAGGCTGTCCTGGGCTTCAGTCTGAACCCTGAGCATTACACGTCGCGGCCTGCCGACCGGTCGGACTCGAAGGGTGGGGAGGCTCATGTGGTTGAGCAGGACACTTTGACGGAGTCACAAATTGCGGCGGCGCTGTCGGATGAGGGCAAGGAGCCCGATCCTGCTGCGTTGCCTCCGCAGGAGGCGTGTGAGCCGGAGCCTGCGCCGCTTCTTGCGCTTCCTGTGGAGGCTGAGCAGTCCCCCAAGCCCAAGCCGAGCCCCTTCACAACGCCAGTGAAGCCCAAAGAGCCCGTCATTGTGATATCCCCTGGCAGCCCCATGGACTTCCAGTTGCATGTAGAGATTCCCAAATTGGAGTCGTGTTTCGCGTACATATGCTCCATGCATGCAAGCGTGCGCGTGCTTTGTGTACTTAAGGCAACCACTCCTGTTCCTGTGGACAGTCCCCTTTCGGGGCTATCGAGCCAGTTTGCCAGCATGGATCCCAACGTTCTTGAGAGCCTCCTTGCCCTTGTGAAGGAGAAGCTGCTCGTGTACTTCAGCCTTGTTCAAGCGCGCGTGTTTGTTTGTGATGTGTCGCATAACCTTCGGGCTTATAAGAGCGAACTTAGGTCCCAGCCGGACCAGGACACGAAGAAGAATGCGTTCGAACCACGACGTAGAATATCGTTCGGTTCAGATGCATCCACTGCCTCTGGGTCGATCTCTTCAAAAGCCACTTCAGGCAGAATGCGTGGCGGAATTTTCCCTTTATGAAACTTCTTGAAATGGCTTCGTTGTGTTCCTGACATGCAGGCCAAACTTCGTACGACAACGACGACACGCAACAGTGGTGCCCAACGGAGGGCGAATTGCTCGCTGCGTGGTCTGAGATTGAAGCGAAAGAGGCGGAACTCCACAAGCGGGAGGCGTCAATGGCCAGAACCGAAGAGCTTCGCAAGGAGCATGCGAAAAGTGCATTGCGGTTGAAGGAGCAGCTTCACGGAAAGGAGCGCCAAGCCGTCCCGCCCATCAAGCTTCCCGAGGATGCGAAGCCAGCTGCTTGACCCATCCACATAATAATTTTTCGGTAGACAGCTGTTTGTGTGCTGCAGGTTGCAGAACCCTATCCTTCTCACTTGCGTGTGCACCTGTGGTCCATACTCATCTGTTGCTTGGTCTGCCAAACTAAGTCTGCCACTGTGGTTACGAGACAGCAGCAGCTACAGCTCACGGCCGACAAGAAAGGCTTGAATGATCTTGAGGACAACGATGAAGCTGATGCTGCGATGCCAAGCTCGCACAGGGGGAGACCCTGCAAGAAGGCGGTTCAGGCTAAGGCCAAAGCCAAGGCCAAGGCCAAGGCCAAGGCCAAGGCCAAGGCCCTGGCCAAGGCCTCTGAGGATGACGATGATGCTGGTGGGTCCCCGAACAACTGTGGCACTGAGTCCGTCACCCCGGCGCCCAAGCTTCTGCGGAGTGGCAAGAGCAAGATGTTCAAGTCCAGATCCAGGAGGCGCTTGATTTGCAAAAATGCCAAGGAGGCCGATCACGCGGTTGAGAAGAGCAAGAAGCGCAAAAGGCCGAATGCTGGCAAGGAAAGCAAAGCAGCCTCTTGGTCGGACGCCACCCAGCACTACGACCAGTGGGATGGTGAGTGGAATGGTGCGTGGGGCGAGGATTGGGGCGAGGATTGGGGCGATGAGTGGGCTGCTTGGGAAGGGATCGAGGATTGGGAGCCGGATGTGCCAACCACTGCGCCGAAGCGGAGGTACTCCAAGAAAGCCAAGCCCTCGCCCTCTGCTGAGCCTGCTGTCGAGGGCAGAAACGCAGATGAAGAGGGCGGAGACGACGAGGATGAAGAGGATGAAGACGGTGAGGGGTACATGAAGACCTTTGCCAGGCGCTACTATCCGCAGAGGCCCGCCTTCCAGGCCAAGTGGCTGGCCATCAGGGATGCCTATGACGCAAAGATTCGGTGCTTTGTCAAGGGCCACTCAAAGCTCGAGGACCTATTGTTGCAGAACACGTGGATGGGTATGTATGTATAGCGACGTAGAGGGTGTATTCTTGCAGGACCGCTTCTGGATCTATTGCGGAGAGAAGGCCCAGGAGCGTGTCCCGAAGGTCACTGTCCAAGATTGGCCCGCTCTGGCTGTGTCTGCAGCTTTTGAGTTCCTGGGTGATGGTGCCATTTGTCCCGTGGAAAGCAAGTAGAGAATTCGACAGCTGAAGCCTTTCATAATATTGCATTCCCTCAAATTCATCGTAGCTCAGGCAAGAAGTGGTCTGATGTGGGTGAGAAGCTCTTTGGGGGTGACAAGAGACCGTCTCGCAAGCAAGTCGAGGCGTATCTCAAAAAGAATGGCGTGGGCCACTGATCTTTTGAAGCATCGAGTGGCTTGTGTAGCTGTGCAGGGGGAGATGGGGAATGGGGAACCTCCTGGTCTCGCAGCTTCTAATTTTATGGTGCCTCTGTGGCCTCTTGCGAAGGACCGGCTTGTTATTCCACTTTAGCAGCATTGAAGCAGCAAAGGCGTGCATCATGATAGCCGGTTTCGCGAACTTCAGTTCCCTATAGATCTCGAGATCTGTGTGAGTGCGTGCAAGCGGTGCTCAAAAAGGGTACGCGGATCGATCCTTGTCAACACATGCGCTAGCCTTTTTTTAAGGATCCATGTGCCTATCTATATATAGTACGCACCTAAAGCTATGCTATATAGGAACCCAGTTAAGGCAATAGTGGGTGCATGGATCCTTATAGGGCGCGTGTAGCTGAGCATGAACAATTCTATTCTGCGCATTTTTCTTCGTACTTTTGCAGTCAGACCTTAAACCCAACAGTCCTCGGACAAAATAGCCGCTGCCCTTGCGCAGGCGATGCATCGACGTTGCCCTGGACACATGGATTCTGCTGATTCTGATTCAAGCGAAGGCAAGCCACTGCACATGTCCAGAACACAAGTCTGCAAGTGATTGATGCCGACAGAAGCTGACTTCATGGCCGTGCGCCGTTCTAGCTGGGCTCAGGGGCTTGTGTGCTGACACGCTTCACTGTGCCAACTTTAAAGTATCGATGCCCGCATGGATGTGTAAACAGCTTCATGCATGGGCCCACATAGCCTGCATTGACCCTTGCCGGCCTGCCCAACTCCTGTCATGAAGCCAGAGCAGCTGGTCGGCAACCTGTTGAAGATGAGGGCCCCCAAGGCGGGATTGGTCGAGTGCATCCTAGCTTTGGGCTTCGTAGGTCGTGCTTGTTACAGAAGCTGAGTGCACGAGTCAGGTGGGTTGCGGGAGGTTTTGTTGACACAGGGGTATACAGCCGTGAGGGTTGGCTGCGCGTGGGCTTCGCAAACCTCTACAGGGTGCTGCGCTTTGTTCATGCAGGCATTTATCCTGGCCATTCTCTGCTTGTTGTTCAACGAGCGCTTCAATACTGAGCAGGACTGCATGTAGAGGGCTCGACAGTCGTGGGTTCGCAGAGTTGCACCGGTGTAGACCATTGGTCGAGCATGCACAGGCCTTTCCCTTCCTAGAGCACTATGCTGGTGAAGCAACAATGAGCGCGGCAGTTAGACGCGTGCATGGCTGCCACGTTGGCCAACTTGACATCAAGCTCCACCCTGCTATGGATGTATCTAAACCCTCCGGGTTTGCGATGGGGACTCAGATGTTCTGAAACATGAGATCTCTGGTTTGTCGTTGTGGTTCTAAACAGGGTCGCCCTATATAATGTTTCCTTTGTGCCCAGGCTTCACCTCCTGTCGGTGCTGAAGGGAAGACGAGCGGGGTTCACCCTTTGGCAGGGAATGCTCTGCAGTACATGGGTGGCCATGTCCAGGGGGACTACAAGGAGATCTTGGCTGAACCCTTTAGGATTGGAAGGGCTGGCTTGCGTAGCTCTGGGAAACACAATGGTGAGCAGGACGTGGGTTTTGAAAATCAGTGGTCCCCAATAGCTTTCAGAAAACCACGCAGCCTAAACTAAACTCGCCAACCCTAAACCCTATATAGATATAAACCCTTTAAGGCTCTATATCTTTCTACTTGGAGGTTCATGAGTACTACTACTTCGAGGACTTCGGGGACTTCGGGGGCTTTTTAGTACGTGCGTGTACAACTATTTGTGGTAAAAGGGACCCTGACCCTCCAAGTAGGACCCTCAGGCCACGCAGGCCTTACAGTTCTCCTTGTCCAGCGCTGCGATTGCTGCCCAGGACAGTCCTGATTTCACTGCTGTGCGCAGCAATGGGGTCAGTATGGGTGTTGGAGCAGCCGGGCTCCAGCCTAGCTGCAAGGCACCCCCGTTTCCAATGGTTCTGCAAAGTACACGATGCTTATCGACTTTCAATAAGTTTTGACAGACATTCTTGGGGTAGTAGGATCAACGCGTCGTAAACATCACCCAATTCCCAGGTGTATGTCGTTCGCTTTTGGATGATGCATTACAACCACAGCTGTCCAAAAAGATCGGTTCTGTGGAGCAACAGCAGGAAGGTGCTGAGGTTTAAGAAGGGCAGGCTGACAAAGCAGTTCAAGCTCAAGCAGCAAAAGCTCCATGGTGCTGTTAAGACAACCAAGAGGAAGCTGGATGAGGGTGGCAGGGAGCGGTACACAGCATCGGCGGCGCTGAAACCGACTCAGACTGGGTCTTAATGCACGCACGGTGCTTGCATGTGCCATCGAGCATCTATTGTAGAGGAGCCCCCAAAGGCCCAAGCTAATCCTGAACAATGCCCTGAAGTGTCTTCTCATCCGAGGACATACACACCGGAATTTGCTCAGCACATGGCGGATCTCCTCCCGGCCTTCAACGAGTCTCGGCCAAGGGCTGGGTTGTTGGCCTGTTCGGAGGACACGGTCGTTCAAGCGTTGTGTAACTTGGAGATGGGAGATGATTGGTCGGATGCTGGCGTTCCTGAGCTTCTTAGATATTTATATGGGGCTAAAGGCCTCGTCATTCCACAAAAGTGGCTGTGCTGTTTCCCAACTACACACTTTAACCCCTGAACGTGGCGCGCCCTCTGCGATCCAGGGTGACAGCTAAGTGCCAAATTCAATTCAAGTAGCCACACGTAGCCACGATGATAGAATCCTCCATTACAAAAAGTCCGATAGCTATCTCTTGTAGGTGGCATGGTGTGGTACATGCACATAGGTAAATTCGTGCAGAAGGCAGCACGTACTTCCAGACCGTGGCACGCTCGGCCCTTGCAAGCCCGCCAAAACATTTTCGGGCTACAGACCTTCCGTTCATGGGGGGCATGTGTGTGGACTGTGCGTTGCTTTGATCAGCCGAACTCTACATAAACCCGGCCGGTGTACTATCTCTATCTGTTCTTTTGCTTCACCCTAAACCCTATATAAACCCTATATATACATATAATCTGAATTTAAACCCATATAACCCTTATAAGCCCTTATATATTTCAACCCATAAACCCTTTAACCCTTTATCGACCCTGTAAACCCTATGAACCCTATAAACCCTATAAATGCCTGGTCGGAGCTCCAGAAGGCAGTGCCGGCTGCCTGGCGGTACGCGTGGTCGCAGGTTGATTCAAATACGTAGCTTTCCGGCTTCTTATGTGGTTCAATCTTCTTCAGGGTCCCAGTTATTCCATATAGATGTATATAACCCTATATATATATACATATATATACATATATATACATATATATATATACACACACATATATATATATATATATGTACATAGGAATGTATATATATATATATATATATGTATATATATATATAAAGCTGTCAATCTTTCTATATCTATATCTATATATATATGTATATATATATGTATCTTTATATATTCAAATTAATATATATATATATATGTATATACATATATATATATATACATGCATACATATATATATATATATATATATGTATATATACACGTACATTAATAGATAGCAAAATATACACATAGAGGGTTTAAAGTTGAGTTTAAGCTTTAAGACGTTGCGTTTTTCTTCAGTGTGTTCGGGAATAGAGTAAGGGTTGCGGGGTTGGATTGTGGTTTCAGGCTTTGCGGGGCTGCGGGCTTGACAACTTGCGGGGCTGCGGGCTTTACAGCTTGCGGGGCTGCGGGCTTGCGGGGTTTCAGGCTTCGAGGGCTGCGCCCTGCAGGATTTCGATCTGGTTTTGCGGGCTTCGTGGTGGAATTTCAGGGTTGCGGGCTTAAGGCCCCCATGGGTGCAGCGCAGGTTGCGTGGCACTTGCGTGCTTTTGCGTGCGTTTGCGGGGTTTGGCGTGCTTTTGCGTGCGTTTGCGGGGTTTGGCGTGCTTTTGCGTGCGTTTGCGGGCTTTTGTCGGTGTTTTCAGGGCTGCGGGGCTGCGGGGCTGCGGGGCTGCGGGCTTGCGGGGTTCAGTGTCCTGAATTTACAGTTTTGTTCAAATTTTGGGAAAACGTAACAGCCAGAAAACGCCGCCCAACACCCGAAAACACGCGCGCAACACCCGAAAACTCGCGCGTAACGACTGCATTTCAAAATTGGCCAAAACCAGCCCCCATAAGTTAAAAAAAACGCAGGCGAAGCCTCAAGCGATCCAACTTGCACCTCTTTCCGGCCTCGTGACCATGGCGTTGAGCCGGGACGTGCACTCTGCGCAAAGCCTGTTGGCTGGCTTTTCGCAGCTAATGAGACAGGCTTCGATGGGTGACACGAGTGCTTTGGAGGGTGTGGCCCAGGATCGATAGTGGCATAGCTGCACACACACACACAACGATTGCATGGATTTTGAATCCATCATGCATGCACATGGGCTTGCAATTCACAGCGCTTATGCCATGAGGAGCTCGAAAAGGCCCTAACACTGTCCAAGACCAAGAAGGAGCCGGCCTCCGTCGCGATGGTTCCGGTGATTCGGCAACCTCCAACTGGTCTTGAGACTTTCAGTGAGCGTGCGTGTGCGCGCATGCAATCTAAATGGGTAAAATTGGGTTAAAGTTCTATAACAATGTGAGGTCAAAAAGGAAGACGAGGAGACTTCCAAGTCACCAGGAACACCTTCGATTTTGAGCCCGACAACCAGCCCTGGTTCTGCATCCGGCCAGTCTGTGCCTGGTCTCATGATGCTTGCTTGTGCGCGCAGCACGTGCTTACCTAGCGTGCTGTTCGTTGTAGCAATGTGCATGAATGCAGATCGACCGATCGTAAGGAAACTATGAAGCAGATGCTACTTATGAAGGATGTCATCCTGCGACAGCAACAGGCTTTGGAGTCCATGAAGGGAAGTGATAACTCCTTGCCCCGGGAACCTTCTGCCCCAGCTGCCCTTTGGCATTTATACATTGCGTGCTTTTTTGAGTACGATATTCTAGTCTGATTTCAGCCCCTATTCGACAAAGTAAACCACCTACAAGGCAGCAGATGCCAATTCGCTTCCAAAGCCGAAGCCAACCCCAGCACCTGCCGTTGGTGCTGAGCTCGCCACGCCAGACACGCGGGGAAGAAAGCGGCCACGCTCTCCTGCCTCAGAAGGCAGCAAGGAGAAGGATGAAGATGATGAGATGACAAGCCCCAAGGTGCTGTTCTGGGATCAACTTGATAAGAACGAGAAGAACAAAATCCGGCGAGTTTGCATCCCCAAGCCCGGAAGCGGCAACCTGGAGGTGCCAGAGAACATCTTTGAGATGTGGCAGGATGCTGCTAAGGGCCGGGAGACATTGTATCGCATGTGGGCCAAGAGCGGTGGTGTCAAGGTGGGGATGCTTGTCGGTAAAGTATGTGCTCATGATCGATCTAGAAAAGCCAAGGGTTTCTGTACAAGTAAAGCGGGTTTACAGGGTTTATAGGGCTTATATAGGACCCCCTTTGTCCTAATGGGCCTGTTGCAGACCTTGCGCTGGTTTTGGGTGGGGCCCAATACTTGTGTTTGGATCTGAGCTTTCGAAGCTTGTATTTGACTTCCAGGCTGTCTTCGTGGAGTCTGTTTTGGTCATGAGCAAGAGTACACGCTCCAAGAAGCTCTCTGTGAAAGGGGGGTTCTACTCCAAAGAAGACATGAGCACTGAACTGGGCTACAAGCAGACCCTTAACAGCAGGCAGTGGCTATGTTCACCTGTCAATTGACCAATCCTTCTTTCCAAAGCTTGCCTGACCCCATCTCCCGGTAGATCCATCTAAGTCCATTGCAACCCAGGAGCCGCATCGACAAGATCGTCAAGTGGGCCGAAAGCAAGAACCTCGTTCGGCAGCCAGGCTGCAAAGGTATTGAAAGGGCTCTTGGGAGGTTTCGTTTTGCATAGCTCTAAACCCTATATATACCCTATATAAACCCCAAACCCTATAAACCCTATAAAACTATAGGTTTTTTTGTTCTCTATGTATTTATGTACGTACTTCGTGACTTAGTGGGTCGCACAGAGAGGTCTCTGATTCCTTGCAGGAGGGTTTTCTATTGATGCTGTTTGGGTAATTTCGGGGGTCCAGGCTGATAGGCAGGGTACATTGGGGTCACGTGACACAGTCAGCTATGTCTGTTCCCCAGCCTTCGAATTTTGGAAGTGTGCCCCATCCCGAAACAACGTAGCCTCTCTAGTCCGTATGAAGTCATCCCAGACACCGCGCAAACCAATTTGTATAGCCTTACTTGAGGACGTGCGAGTATGACGACGAGGTCCTGGAGTACTGGGTTAACATCCGAACAGAAGGTGTGCTGTCCCAGGAGGACATTGATACGATGGAACACCAGAAGAAGTACGAGGGCGATGGTGGGACCGACCTGCAGATGAAGCCGCGGGTGTCCCTCGACGATTTCTCCTTTGGCGATGATGACCCTTTGGTGCACAGAAACAACGCGGACAAAGAGGGTGATCATCAGAAGACCGCCTCTTGGGCTCGCGCAGGAATGAATGATGCAGGCGTACATCTGCGAGCCTGGCACAGCATGTCCCATGTGCAGTACCCACTTCCCCAGCTGAACTCACCAGCCCCTAGGTTCTTGTCAAGCTCAACGAGCACTTGGCCCAGACCCTGAAAGCAAGGAACTCTCTTCAATCCTTCTTTGACAAGCTGACTACAGCTGGTGCAGGGGATAAGGGCTGCGCGGGGATACTTGTCTGCAGCGAATGGAACCCATAGTCAGTTCTGCCATCGACCCCACCCAGGCCTCCATGAAGTGCAGGCTGCCATGTTCCTCGCAGTCCGACCTCAGGACCGTTTCGAAACTCGAGGCGCTGCTCAAGGACTTCGAGGGCGTGTATGAAGACATGGGGGATTGCAAGGCCGAGGGAAAGATTAATGGCTTCGGCGAGAAGTTTCTCGATCTTACTCATCTCCAATTCTCGGACACTTTCTGGGTTCATAAAATGCAAAACTGTTTTCACGAATGACTATGCCCACCCTTACAGCATCCTAGGCTGGTCGCCGACTGTGAGAACCACTTCAAGAAAGCACAGAAGCTGAACCTGGCCTTGCAGCCATAGTTTTCTACTTGGGTTTTCTATTTAGAGGTTCATTGGTACTTGCAACCCCAACTATATATATATATATGTAAATATTTGTATCCTATTCAGAGGACTCAGGGGACAGGCGGCTTAGAAGTGCAGTCTTAACTGGGGTTAAAAGTACCAATGAACCAGTAGGGTTTATAGGGTTTATAGGGTTGCAGGTTTTTTTGGGGTAGTTTTCGGATTTATAGGGTTTACAGGGTTTATAGGGTTTGTATAGGGTTTATCGATACATACACATATATGGGGTTGAAAGGGTTTTTAATTTAAGGGTTTATAGGCTTTATAGGGGTGGTAGGGTTTTTATATATAGATATAGGGTGAATATAGGGTTTGCAAGGGTTTTAACTCCACCCCTTCCCTCCCCCCCCCCCCCCCCCCCCCCCCCCCCCTCCCTTGACCCTGCCCTTCCTGTTCCCCCCCCCCTCCTCGGCCCTGCCCGCGTACTGCGACCCAGGATGTCGAAAGCGACCACCCTGGAGGCGTCGAACAAGTAAGGCGCTCAATGATTTGAAGCGCAAATGAATGCCCATGCTGTTCAGCCCCACGGTTCAAGATGCGATTTTAAGTTTGTAGATCGCCGAGTTTGCTAGCTGAGGCAGACGCTCAGCAGGCTTCGCAAAGCCTCCAGGAAGGCAGAGGCGGCTTAGTCGCCCCTTGACCTGGGCATGGGTTGTGGGTTGGAGTGAGCGAGGCTGCGATTGTTTTCTTTCGTGAAAGCTCACATGTCTGTGCAGTCTACGCTACCAGGTAGCTTCTGCGCTAATCTGTGTTCATTTGATCATTCGATCGACTCATGTGCTGCCTTAGTTGCCTGGGGGCTATGGGCTGTATGAGCTTTTCTATGACTGGCGTTGCACACCTCATTGGTAGACTGTACGGGTTCTGTGGAGAACCATTTCTTGCATGTTCAGTGTGATAATGGACGTGTCAATGGCCCAACGGCACTGGCAGCTATGAAGTTTCACTTTTGGGGCACCAATTCGGACTGATGGGGTAGAAGGCTGCGTTCGAAGTGTTCGAATCGACCCATGATGTGCAATACGGCCGGCTTTGGAACACAGTGTCTTTGCTTCGTGGCCTGAGTACCAGTTTCCCAAGGTGCTGTAAAGCGCGTCAGTCTCGATATTGCTGAAGGTGTTGCTAGGGGCAAAAACAAGGCGCTGGCGGAGCTCTATGTGTGCTACACAAAGAAAGTGCTGCGACCCAGTGTCCGAAAGTACCCAAATGCCGTGTCTCAACCTTTTGTTTAGGGCCCCTGCCCAACAGCCGAACCTAAACAATTTACTAGATGTGTTCATAGAAGCACGAGTAGCCAAAGGATCCATGTACCTATATATATATATATATATAAATGATAATATACTTGCTAGGGCCTTATAGGGGTTCCTAAATAGTAGCTTAATTTAGGGCAGTGTATATAAACTATATATATATATATATATATAGGTACATGGATCCTTCGGGGTACCTAGTGCGGTCAGGGGGTCACGATGCAGGTTCTGAAGAGCTGCTCAGCCCACAAGTCTACTTGATCGCCAAGAAGTATGGGAAAGGCGCCTGGGCCCCGGAACCCTAGAACAGAGTAACAGAGTACTCCTGTAAGCTTGCGTGCACTTCTGCACGCGTGCCTGGCGTGCGCAGTCGTGTGGCACGAGATGTGTGTTCATGCAATAGTGGTAGGTATACATTTGCAAAGAGTTGAAACTCGTACGCTTTTCTTCTACCTCACTTTACGTAGCCGTACTTGCGAGCAGCATGCCAACCCAAAAGCTTAATGTGTTCCCATGGAGCGACTCAGAAGAAAGTGGCGACCACGCCCTGCCCTGCCGACTGGTTTGTTCTGGGCCACCGCGCGAAATCAGCAGGGATCCATGCGAGAAGCAACGCTGCACCGACCTCGATATCAGGGTTGTCTCAGAAGTTTTGACTGCTGGGAAAATCCTTTCGCACTGCATCCAGGTTGTGAGGGAGATTCAACAAGAAAATGGTGGGAAGGCGCTGAGTGTCATCAAGATAGGACTCACTTCCAACCCTTTTGTGCGGAGGGAGAGCTACGCACGCCAGAACTTCAAAAGCTTTGTGGTCATCCACCAAACCTCCCGCGCTGATCTTCTGGGAATGCTCGAAATGTTAGAAGCGGCTGTCATTGCTGAGTTCTATGACAATGGCCGACAATGCCGAAACCAGCTTCGTGGTGGGGAGAGCATGCGTGACAAAAACTTCGTGCCCCGTTTCCCTCCTCCGTACTATGTGTACTGTGCGGCTACAAATGCTGCGCAGAGGGAGCCTATTTTAGGGTAGCTAGGTTTACGTGAATGTATAGGCCGGGTTTCTTGTGTGCTGGGTGCGAATGCACACTGTAGAGATTCATGCAATCACAGTACGAATTGCGTGGTGAGGAAAAATTCTGTTGGGCAGCGCGTAGTGCGAATGCATACCTTTGAAAGCATATATAGCCCCGTACCGCTATGTAGTAACGAAAGCGGCCGAGGTCCCTGCAAAAGACCTCGTCATCGACGCCAAAGCTGCTGCAAAGAAAGACTCCTGCCGTGTGTTGGCAAAGATAGCAAAAGTTAAGGAGTCGAGTGCGGATGTTCCCCTCTTCAAGATCTTTCAGGAGCATGGGCTGGCATTGGAGGTTGAGTTCAGCTTTAGCAAACTTGCGACCCTGGAGAGGTATCCATACATTGACCCCCGCAAGCTTTTTACTGTTTTGGGTGATGGCTACTTCCATAAAGTGCTGGGGGTGCCAGCGCACTTGGCCAAAGAATCCTTGGAGTTGTTCTGGGAAAAATTTCGGGTGCTCCACCCGAATCACCAAGTCTTTTCCCAGTACGTGCCCCTCGCCACGCTCATTCCATACTATCTTCACGGGGATGGTGGAAGAGGATTCAAGAAGGATCCAATCGAGATTTTATCCATGCTCCCTGCGCTTGGCGCGGGGTCTAATGCCAAGCCTGTGGATTTGAGTTCGAAGCGCAAGGCTGAAGACATTGCTCTTGGCATCAACTTGCGGGGGAGCTCTGGCACAACGCGTTTTTTATTTGCAGTTCTGAGCAGCCTGGTTTACAAGCACCACCCTACAGTGTTCGACGAGCTTATGCGTTTGTGGGGCAAGAAGCTGGAAAGCCTTTTTGCGGATGGTTTCGAAGCTTGTGGATCTACGTGGCGTATCGTGATACTGGGCTTTACAGGGGACAATCCTTTCATCAAGAAGGTTGCACATTTGAATAGATCGTTCAACAACGTTCGCAAGACCCATTCCTCGAAGAACGACCAGAAGGGTTGCTGTTGGTTATGCATGGCTGGGAAGGAGACACGGACCGAGCACTACCCCTTCGAGCATCTCGGTTTCTTCGACCCAGCATGGATCAGCACGCAAGGTCTCAACAACCCACTTCCATGGGCAGGCAATGGAGGCCCTCTTCTGCAACACATGCTGCTGGATCCTGATGAGTCGCCGGCAGCCTTTTTCAAGGCTGACTTTTTCCATGTCTACCACGCTGGCGTGGGAAAAGATTTCGCTGCTTCAGCAGTGGTTTACAGCATGAGCAAGTTGTTTGGACTGGGAGGAATCGACCGAGACCTGAAAGCGTTGAACGATGCGCTCGCTGTTTATGTGCGAAAGCACAAGACGCGCTTGCACTGCGGCTTCCTCACGAAGGATCTTCTGGGCTACAACTCCACGCGTGAGTACCCGGAGGGCAAGTGGTCCAAGAACATGGATACAGCCATCGTGATGAAGTTCGTGGTCGACTTGTTGCAACAGCGTAGGTTCCAAGACACGGTGCAATCCGATGATATCCTGAAGACAATTCTTGCTTCTGCTACCGCGATTGGAGCGGTTCTGAACCGATGTTTGGAAGCAGAATACTTTATGTCTGACGCAGACTGTGTCTACGTCATCAGGCGCCTGGGCCAGTTTTGTTGTTTCAGCAAGTGCCCCCGAAACGGGAAATCTACATTTTTTTGTTTGTGCGAAACGGGACAATCTACATTTTTTTGTTTGTGCACGTGCATGTTTTTGCGACTTGGTTTCTCTTATTTTAGAATTCAAACGGCATCTGAGGAAAGGCCACGAGTTCCTATGCGGCTACTCGTCTCTGGTGGCAATGTGCTACGGACGGCAGCTCTGCCTTTTCAAACTCCGACCCAAGACACACTACATGAACCACATTCTTTTGAATGTGTACACGGAGTGGTGCCGCACGGGCACAGCAGTTAATCCTCTCAGCGAGGCAACTTTCATGAGCGAGGATTTTGTTGGCCATTCCGCGAGGCTTTCGCGGCGGGTTGACCCACGAGCCATCGCCTTGAAAGTGCTTCAACGGTATCTGTTATGGATGCAGACAGCGCTCGACAAGGATGCGCTTCAGACTCTGGACCTTTCCTGGCTGCTGTAGCTAGAACAGCTGTAGCTTGAAAGCACTTTGGAAACATGTTTGGTTACAAGGTTCCCGAAGAAATCCCATACACAACGAAACACATTATGAAATCCTGCCCTCCCACATCCCATTCGCCCAGGTTCGCTCCTGATTCGGCCGGCGACGTCGCCAAAAGACATGGGCAGGGTAGCTTTGGGGATTCTGGGGCAGCTTCGCATTCAAGGTTCATGGGTTCAGGATTAGTTCAACACTGTTTTATATGGGGTGTGGGGCTACAGGGTCTGGGTGGTGATGTTTCATCGGGTTTTGTTGATGTTGGTGGTTTTGGGCAAACGCCCGCATTTTGGGCCAACGGCCGCATTTCAGCAGGATTTCGGCTGCGTCTGGTTTTTTCTGGATGTTCGGCTTCACAGGTAGGGTTTAGGGTTTAGGGTTTAGGGCATAATTCGGGCAGGGCTTCTGAGCTTGCTTAGGGGCAGGTACGCTGAGGGTGTCAGAGTTGTCTGGCTCAAAACGCCCGGCCTGATTCCCTTTCTCCTTGAGCTCTAAGACCACCTCTCCACTGCACTTTTGGGTTTAAGGTTTAGGGTTTAGGGTTAGGGTTTAGGGTTTAGGGTTTAGGGTTTAGGGTTTAGGGTTTAGGGTTTAGGGTTTAGGGTTTAGGGTTTAGGGTTTAGGGTTTAGGGTTTAGGGTTTAGGGTTTAGGGTTTAGGGTTTAGGGGTTTAGGGTTTAGGGTTTAGGGTTTAGGGTTTAGGGTTTAGGGTTTAGGTTAGGTTTAGGGTTTAGGGTTTAGGGTTCAGGGTTAGGGGGGTTTTAGGGTTAAGGGTTAGGGTTAGGGTTAGGGTTAGGGTTTTAGGGTTTAAGGGTTTTTTAGGTTTAGGGTTAGGGTTTTGGGGGTTTTCGGGTTTAGGGTTTAGGGTTTAGGGTTTAGGGTTTAGGGTTTAGGGTTTAGGGTTTAGGGTTTAGGGTTTAGGGGTTAGGGGTTAGGGGTTAGGGGTTAGGGGTTAGGGGTTAGGGGTTAGGGGTTAGGGGTTAGGGGTTAGGGGTTAGGGGTTTAGGTTTAGGGTGTAGGGTTTAGGGCCTGGTGTCTGGGGCAAGAGGTCGAGTCTAAGGTCGAGGTTTAGGCTTGAGTAAGGTTCAGGGTTTGGGGTTCGGCCCATAAGCCCTAAGCCCTAAACCCTAAACGGCAGCAGCGATCCTATGCGCAGCATCGGGAGCTAGTTTTCAAATTTTGTTGCCCACGACAGTGTTAATGTACAACGAAAGTTGAATACCTAAACCCGAGCCCCTGAGGCCTAGAAATTTTGGGGTTTGGGGTAGTTTCGGGTGCTAGGTCTGGGGGGTGAGGGTTTGGAGTCTAGGGTTCAGAGTGTAGGTTCGTTCCCCAGGCTAGGTCACACCCCTACAGCCCTAATCTCCACAATCCGACACCCCAAAGCCTAGGGTTTAGGGTTTAGGGGTTAGCGTTGAGGGTTTCGGGTTTAGGGTTAGGTCGTTTGGGGTTTAGGGTTTCGATCCCTTGGGTCCGGATTGTGGTACGAAGCGACATCCATCCAATCCCCTGTGCCACCCAACTCCCATCCCTACAAACCCCTAAGCCCTGCACACCTTCATGGGTAGCTCTAAACCATAAACCCTAAACCCCACATATAGTACAGCGCCCTGAACAGGGCTTACTAACACATAACATCCCCAGTGTGTGTTTTTACGGGCGGTTCTGCAGCTTTAGGGTTTAGGGTTTAGGGCCTTCTACTCAGCCGCTGTTCCATTCATGCTACTCACAATGCAGTAGCACTGAACCCCCCCCCCCAAATGCTCATTTTATGCCATCTTCCCTCTTTTCGGTGAGGCTCGGGTGGCTGGCAAGTGACCTGCCGTAAAAAAGTAAAATAAACCCCCACTCCAGCCTATAGCACGGCGCCCTTACACGAAGGATCCCCCCCCCAAAAAAAAAAACGGGGGGCGCTAATTCAGAGGACCACCCACGTGCAACTGAACCACTCTCTAAGCCCTAAACCCCTGAGATCTGTCCACTCCGAGGGTTAAGGGTTCAAGGTTAGAGGCCCCACAGCTGAAGCCGAGCAAAAACCTGAGCCCTTCACTTCAAACCTCAACCCCAGAAGAAGGGGGCTGAAAGTTGTACGCTCAAGGTTGCCGTTGAAGGGCTTCCTCAATACAGCTACGAGCTAATCCCGAAACCCTAGACCCTAAACCCTCAACTCTAAACCCTAAACCCTAAAGCCTAAACCCTAAAGCCTGAAACCTCGGAATGCCTAAGGGTCAACCAGACACCCCTGAGTTACAAACCCTGCAGGCCCCGCCCAAAACCCTCAAAAACCCCAAGGAAAAAACCACAAGAACCACAAGAACCACAACACCAAAACTCAAAAAAACAAAAAAAGCAAACAAAACCAAAAACAAAAAATGCACACAAAACCTCTCAAAAAAACAAAAGCACAACAAGAAGCTTGGGTACTATGGGGGCCTGAATAATTGGAGGGTTTTGGGGGTTGTTGTAGCATAATTTAAAAAAGGGGACCCTAAGGGAATACCTACTATCGTATTTATTCCGACCCCTATATTGCCCTGAACCCGAAAACCCTATAGTACCTGCACCCGCTGGTGGCTGGACAGCGCCGTCGTAGTCGAGACCATGGTTTTTGCGGCAGCTGAGGGTTTGGGGTTTTCGAGTTTGGGGTTTGGGGTTTGGGGTTTAGGGTTTGGGGTTTAGGGTTTAGGGTTTAGGCTTTTCGATTTTGGGGTTTAAGGTTAGGGTTTGTGTTTAGGGCGTAGGGTTCTAGGGTTTTCGGGTTTTAGGGCTTTTAGGGCTTCTAGGGCTTCTAGGGTGTAGGGTTTTCGGTTTGTGGGCCTAAGGTTCCATGGTTCATGGTCTTCAGGGTCGTCCTAGGCCAGCTCGGAAGGGCGGGGGTGTTGGAAGGAGGCGCATGCTCCTGGAGCCAGGTTTACCTGGTTTTCCGCCGTGAATTACGAAAAACTCTTAGGGTTTAGGGTTTAGGGTTTAGGGTTTAGGGTTGCGGGCCTAGGGCTTACCCTAAAGCCTAAACCCTAACATTTAGGGAATCCCCATGAAAGGCCTTTGTAAAAATAATAAGGGCTCCAAAAGGGTATGCTTTCGCGCTTTGGGCTTCGAGGGGTGATGAAGCGCTTTGTCCAGGGTTTAGGGTTTAGGGTTTAGGGTTTAGGGTTTAGGGTTTAGGGTTTCGGGTTTAGGGTTACGGCATCCGGCCTTGGGCACACAAGAAGCAGCTTGCACTTCGCATTCGGGTTGGGGCGCGGGTTGGGTTTAGAGGGGTTCAGGGCTTAGGGTGTGAGGAGTAGGTTCCCCTTGATAGGGTAGAGGGACCCCTCAACCGTGCCCCTTTGCACCTTTGAGCCCTGGACCCCTGACCTCTCCCCCAGAAAGAAAAGTCTTGAAAAGTCTGAAAACTCTCGGCGCCTGCACTCAACCCAAACTGAAACCCAACAAATCCTCGAGGCCAAAGCCCTGGCCAGAAACCCTGCACCCTTGCTAAGCCCGAAACTCTAAACCGTAAGCTCTAAACCCTAAAGCCCTGAACCCAAAGCAGGACCAAAGAGAAGGCTTTTTCTTGCCTTGCCGGGTCTCACGTCCCTCTGACAGGCTCTGGGTTTGGGGGTTCAGGTGTAGGACGAAGGGGCCCAGAGGCTTAGGGGTTTAGGGCTGTTGTGGCTTTGGGGTCCAGGCCTTAGGGTTGAGGGTTTCGCTAGGGCTTCGGGCTTAAGGTTGCGGGTGTACGGTTTAGGGTTTACGGTTTAGAGTTAGGGTTTAGGGTTTAGGGTTCAGGGTTTAGGGTTTAGGGTTCTTCCCCCAAACCGCCAACCCGGGAATCGAGGTAGGCTCTCATGCTCACGCGTCCTTCGAGCTGTCACGGTCATCATGCCAGCTCCTTTGGTTTAGGGTTTAGGGTTTAGGGTTTAGGGTTTGGGGTTTGGGGTTTGGGGTTTGGGGTTTGGGGTTTGGGGTTTGGGGTTTGGGGTTTGGGGTTGGGGGTTTGGGGTTGGGGTTTGGGGTTTGGGGTTTGGGGTTTGGGGTTTGGGGTTTGGGGTTTGGGGTTTGGGGTTTGGGGTTTGGGGTTTGGGGTTTGGGGTTTGGGGCTTGGGAAGCCAGAAATACATCGCCAAGTCCTAGTTGGGATGTGAGGTTTGTCAACCCAACAGTTCAACAGCCGTTCCTGCCATGGCTTCCGCTCCACCCACTTTCGCCCCAGCGCCATCCGTCCCGTTGGCCTTTGTGCCATCGGCTGTCCTTGTCGTGCCTTGGCCAGAGCTTCCACCCAAACCCCTAAGCCCTGAACCCTGAACCCTAAACCCTGAACACAAACCCTAAACCCTAAACCCTAAACCCTAAACCCTAAACCCTACACCCTAAACCCTAAACCCTAAACCCTAAACCCTAAACCCTAAACCCTAATCAAACTTACCAAGCCCCCTGGACCCCCAAACCCCGGTGGGGGAAGCAGCAGGCAGCAGGGGATCACTCTCGAGATTTCGCAGATCGTTGCCTTTAACGTCCGTGGTCCGGCCCGGCAGCAGCTCACACCCTAAACCCTAGACCCTAAGCTCCACAGCAATAAACCTACCAGGGAGTAGTTATGAAGGCTCCAACCAGAAGAAGCCCTTAAACCCAGCAGCCCTGGAACCGCTAGAAAACAACCTTTTAGGGTTTAGAGTTTAGGGTTTAGGGTTTAGGGTTTAGGGTTTGGGGTTTGGGGCCCTGAAGCCGGTTCCAACCTGGCAACGCATGCCTGCCATCCTCCCAAGAGCTCCATCTCCACGTTTTGCCAGCATTCCAGCCGTCCTCCAAGGCTCACAGCTTCGAACCGTACTACAGTCTGTTTCGGGTTTAGGGATTAGGGTGTAGGGTGTAGGGTTTAGGGTTTAGGGTTAGGGTAAACTCCGGGTAGACGCCACACCCTGAACCCTACACCCGAAAAGCCCCCGATCCTGGTTGTCGTCCCAGCCCTGTGACCAGTGGCCA